ATTCGGGCGAGAGCGAGAGAGCAATGGGCCCTTTAAAAATCGAGTGAGAGAGAGGGAGAGAGATAAAAGGAGATACGTGGAAAGAAATGAAAGAGGCTCGAGCGCAGCGAAGGAAGGAGACAAATGAGAACTCGGATCGGCATGAAGTAAGCAGGCAGCAAGAAGATTGGGCCCGAGGTGTAATCTCCTTGACGGCTGTTCCGCGCGCTGCTGTTGCTGCCGCCGCCGCTGCTGCAATCTTCGATGCACGCGTGCGTGCACATCGTCGAGAAATGACTGCCGGAAGACTAGTAGCTCCCCCATGCCGACGAGGAAAAGCCTTGGACATTGTCTTGGCGCGATGTGTTCGGCTCTGCCGTCATCGCACCATCACAATGCCCAGGTAGAAAGCCAGCCTCTGTCGCTCGAGAGAGTCCGCTGGTGTTAAAATGCGGAGAAAAGAACGGATCCGCGCGCTCGGGCGCGAGAGCGAGCGACCCCCGTGGTTTTTGTGTGCCACAGCGGAAACAGCTGTTCTCCTTTTCGCGGCCGAGACGCTTTTCGGCGCCCGTTTAATTGCCACTTGGCGTGTCATAGCTTTCACGGCGCAGAAGCGTTGGGCAACCCGTTACACGCGCGCGCGATTATCAGTCCGTCAATCATGCGCGATCCCGTCAATTGGCCGCGCGCGTCTCGCGAGCAAGAAAAAGAGGACGAAGAAAAGCCGCCGTGCAGCCTTAATCGATCCTAAACAAGCCGCCACCTCTCCCGCTCGTCCGCTCGCTCGCGTGCGAAGAAGTGCGGCCACTTCCGCCCAAGGCAGAAACTGTACAAGTGGCGGCAGCGACGCAACGCGACCTGTTCTCCCGTCGTCCGGCCGCGGGCGCAACGAAATAACTAAAAAACGACCGATTCGAGCTTTCGCCTGCACGTCGGCCGTCCGAATAGATGATTCGAGCGAGAGCGTATTAGAGAGCCCCTTCCCTGGACGCGCGCGGCGACTATCCGTCATGGCAGCCCGCAAGAGCCGAGGAAACCCTAGCGGAGACTCGGTTTTACAATTAATTGCAGCTCAATTTTCGGACCTACGTGTGGGGACACGCGCGCGAGAGAGACAGACGGAGGAGCCTCCATTATGTTTTGCGGTTTCGAACTCGATTCATGGAATGTCACATTATAGCCCTGTCTCGGTTATTAGGCCTCGAGCTCGCCGCGCCGCACGCGCATTCCCCGCCGCGCGCAATTTTGACATCTGCACTATCATTAACGCAAACTCCATCTCCCCGAGCGAGCGCGAGCCGCGGTCTCGTCCCGTCTTTCTATCTCGCCCTCGCGACAACGACGACGACCACGACGACGACGACGACGACGACGACGACGACGACGACGACTACATCGACGATTTGCATACTCGTATACTGTTATTTCGCAATTAAACGCGTCGCCCTGCCACTTCCCGGAACACACACTCGCGCCGAGCACCAGCGCCAAGCAGAACAACTCGTCCTTCTAAAATGATAAGGCATCGCACACACCGTTCCACCTATCCACACAAAGGCACTCGCGCACACCTGACACTCCTCGCCGCGACGCCAGTCTCGTGCGTGTCCACGCGCAATTCGGTCACTTGCTCGCTTCGTGCGACGACGTCGACTCCCTTTTTTACATATCACACGCCGACGCTCGAGCACTCCGATCGAGACGCACGAAAAAGAAGAAGAAGAAAAAAAAAAAGAAATAACGAAAAGGACAACATTGGCCACGCGCGCGCCCGCGCGAATTACACGCATTTTCACGGCAATTGCAATCGCTCCCACGGACGACACTGACACACTCACGCACACGCACACACCCCGCGAGGACTTGGCTTCGCAACACTATGCGCACGCGATTTCATTCTTTTACGCCTCCGGCCGTAGACGCACTTGGAGTTAATTATTTCATTATCCGCGCAGGGAAACATCATGCAAATGAGAGCCAACCAACGTCGAATACTAATCCTCCAGCACCTTTTTCTTACGCTCTTTTCCGTAAATTGGTCGTCCGATTAGACGCGCTTTGCTGCAAACAGACTCGCCCAAGCAACGAGAGCGAAGAGGCAAAGAAAATGAAAGTGAGCGTCGAACAATTACTTGAATTAATTGAAGCGCACCTCTAATCGCGCGTCTGCTCTATAATTTTCGCCCCTAGTTGTTGCGCTCGAAAACAAGATTTCTCCAAAGTAGCATCCTGTCGCGGTTTAACCGACCGAAATATATAACAATGTAAACGTCAATTTTCTGTTTCTTTCGTTTTTTTCTCTTTGCCGCTTGCGGTCTCGTTCCTCCGCGCTCGTTGCAACTCGGTTGCCTCTCGCAGCGTCCGTTACTTCAACGAGTTCGGCTAATCAACCGCGATTTCTCGAATCGAATTGGTCCCTCGGCTGGAGATCGGCGGAATCAATGCATTTTTGCTCGTTCGACAACACTTGCCAAATTCGATCTGCCTTGGACGCTACGGATGATGTACGGTTATTCCCGCGATAGCGAACGTTTATAGGTCGAAGTGTATATTCTCGTTAACGGCCCTCGTGCCTGTTATCACTATCAGCGTCATCGCTCACTTCTCGCGCATACAGACTGACGCGGGCAGAGGTTCTAAACTGACGTTTTTATAGTAGAGAAATTTTCGGAAATTAATCATACTTTAACCTCACCGGGCCACACGTCTCACGGGGCAATAATCGCTAAGAATCGTTCAATTAAAGAACAGTTAGGGAGCGCGAGAGGTGCACGTGAAAAAATGCTCAATTAGCCGAATCGAGGCAGTGCGGAATTCTCGGCTCGAAGAATTTACGATTGCCCGCGCAGATCTCTGCGAAAGAGAGAGAGAGAGAGAGAGAAAGCGAGGGAAGCAATCGCCGAATAATCGCGAGCACTGAAAGAGAGAGAAAGAGAGAGTTCAATCCGCGCGTTGAAGTCTCCCGCGCCGGTGCGCACTCGGCGTTATGGCTTTTCCGACCTCGTTTCCCAATCGCTGGCAACTCGCTGTATTTCGCCAGGCGAACTTGAAGCGGTTGCTCGCCGCGCAGATCGCTACCAGAGCAAGGTTAAGGCCTGTTCCGCGTTGCGTCACTCGCGTGCGGCCGCGAAATTGCGTTTCCCTCTTGCCAGGGACACTCGTAAAAAAACGCGCGCGCGCCTTATCTCTCACTCCGTTAAGAGCACGACGCAGGCCGCAGAAGCAAATTACCCACCGGCCGCACAATGAACTTGCTCGCGCTCGTAACATCAAACTTCAACGGCCAAAGCTGCTACGGACGAACAGAGCGCGAGTCGAAGAGCTGCGCGTTGGGGTGCAGTCGCGCTTCGATTTTCAATTTGGGCGCTCGTTAAAATCCGAAAAATGCCGTTTCTGCCTGCGCGCGAGCGCGCCGCCCGAGAGAGTCACGCGTCCGCGAGACCTCTTTTTTTCCATTGTTCGACCGCGCACATAAACAAGTACACACGTATACGCGCTACTTTATTTCTTTCGCATTTGTTCGTTTCTCCTTCTTGCTCGCTCGCTTGCCCCCTTCCTTCCTTTTTTTTTGTGTCGAAGCATCCTCTCGCGCCAGCAGCAGGGTGAAAAACTCAATGGGGCCTTATTCATCATCATTAAAAAATCGTGTAGAAATTAATCAGAGCTTATATTTGTTTTGTGGCGTAGCGCGACGATTTATGAGCTTTATCTCGAGCGCATTTTTCCGCGTGCATCAGATTTATCTTTGACGTGTACGTACATAACTGGAAGCGATCGATGGATACACGCCTTTCACCATTAGACCGAGCGCCACTTTCACGACGAGGACGACGGACGTTGTTAGACTGCGACGTCTACAGGCTAAAAGCTCGACGCTGGCCCGCATCTGGAGAAGATCGCAAAATCTCCCTCCGCGGAGCGCTCTTTATCGGGCGGACGACACGTCGAACGTCAGTCGAATGCCAAGTGAAAATTTCACTGTTCCCGATCTCGACCGAACGACGTGATCGAGCGAAGCTTTGGCTCGCACGCTAGTACGTTTTCGCCACGCGGTGGTTCCTCGGCATCGCAACTCATCTGCGCTGATCTGAGGAGTCGTCGGACGACGACGCTAGAGGCCGTGGGTCCGTTTAAGAACGCAGCGGCCCGAGAGCGACGGTTTAACGCGCGCGTGAGAAATCGATTCAACAGTTACTACGACTATACTGTTGTCGGTCCGGAAAAGCGCACTGCCTATATGTACGCCAGAGAGAATGAGGATTTTTCTGTATGCGCCTAGGTTGAGGCTGCACAAGAGAGACCTCGGCTACTGCACCCTCCCATGAGAGTTTGCCTCGTTAGACGCGCAGCAGAAAAATATTCGCGCTATACCGCCGCGCCGCCTATTGTCCCGGGAATCTCCTCGAATATTTCGCAGATAAAGGAGACGACGGCGCCGATAATCTCTCGCGAGCACGCGCGCGGCCCGCAAGACAAGCTTCTCGCGCTTTCAACTGAAAAACCCGAATATTTTTATCGCCAATAATGTTCACTCTCGGTCATTTACATTTCGCGATAATGCCTTCAAGTTGAACGCTTGCACACGCGCGCGCTCATACTTCTACACTCGGTTCCTTCAAATATAATCATCGAAAATCAACTGCGAGAACACGAGGCTTTTCTTCTTTGCAATTATTTTCAACTTTTTCAGAAACGTGCTCGCGTGAGCAAAGTTCTCACCGATGAGCCACATTATAATGCAAACAGAAGCAGGAGAGAGAGAGAGAGAAAAGTACAAGGCAGACCGGAACTTTATGTATTCCATCGCGCGAAACTTGGGCGACCCATTCGACTGGAAAATGCAGAGCATTATAGCAACAGTAGGTCACGGAAAAAAGCGCAGGCACAAGATCACGGCGACATTGAGATTTGTCTCGCGCACACACGAGCGACGACGCATTTTAACGAGACGTGGCAAACACACAAACTTCCAGGAGACGCACTGTGCTTTTACTTTGGCTTGTTGGCTGTTGGACACTTACATGGAGTTGGTTGTGTTCCAGTACATGCTGATGGTCTTGGCGCAGTTGCTCACCGTCGAGAGCAGCACCGTTTGTAGGCAGACGAGGAACACGAGGGTGACTATGGACGTGGAGACCATGGTGCAACGTCGCTGCCTCGGTCCGCTGCCGCTGCTTCCAGCACCGCGAAACACTGCCTCTGACACACAGCCACATCCACAACACACTTATTAGCCGAGCTTCGGGCGCCGAGACAACTGAGAGTATAGATCTATCACCCCTTGGACTTTACTCTCATTATCTCGACTTTAACACTCTCCAAACAATCGAACACGGCTTTTTCGATATCGCTTTCGGCACCTGGCACTATGTTTGTCTTCTTCTCGCAAGCAGGACGAATCGCACCGAATTTCCTTTCACAACTCTGCTTTTGTATCCTCCAATTATACACTCGCGCGTGGCTCACAGCACGGCGATATCTCAGCCATCGTCCGTCGCTTATGTGCGCTGAGAGAAGCAAGGAAGTCAGAGAAGGCTCAACGACCGACGGCTCGCCAAGATACGCACCGCCGTAGGACAAGTTCTGCTGCGCTCTCGAACGAGACACACCGCTGCCCTTGCTTTTCACCGGCGCAACAGCTATTGCTGGTCGCACTTGGGTTTGCTGATTTCCGGGAACGGGACACTTGGATCCTCGGAACTGCACGGCAGTTTGCAACGACTCGTGTCTCCAGTCGACGAAGTTCCCGGCGAATGCGGCGCAAACTTTCGAGGAAAGAAAAGTCTGTTCACTGGCTGACGAGTCGCGCACTGCAATAGAACACACGGAGGAACTTTGATACTGAAGCCTGTCGTAGGTGCAGGTGTGTGAAGGAACACCAAGTATTCGCGTCTCAGTGGTCGTCGAGATGATGTAGCAGCGATGAGCGAGCGGCGGCACAGCAGCGTGCGTGCGACTCGAGCTAGCTCGCGGACGCGTCTGGTGGTGCGAGCGGGCGGCCAAGCGACTGAGCCGCCGAGGGCACTGGCGGCCGCTCGCGCCGCCGCCGTGCCGCCGCCGCTGCGTACGAGCGCTCGCGGAGACGGCCGAGCGCATGCCGGGGCTCGCCGACTCGGGCCAACAGCACCGGCATCAGTCGACGAGCGACTTTGCGCCGCCGTCGTTCTTCTGGGCCGTAGCTGAGCGGCGTCTCGCGTCCTCGCGCCGCTACTTCGCACTCGTTACGCAACTGGCCTACTCGCGTAGATCCTGTAATGGCTGTAATCTTGCAAATTGACCGAATGCACTTTCTTCCTGGTTTTTTGCATAATTCATAAAATATTGCGCGGGATGGCGCGCTCACGATGCCTGCAACGGCCTTATTTACGAGACAGCCCTGCGCGAGACAGGAATAAAATACGATATAAAAGGTCCCCATATAAAATTATATGGTCAATTACAATTTAAAAGCCATAGAAGAGCCATACGTCTGCGCTGTGCGGATCTCTAATCTCGTGATTTAACTTGAAACTTAATTAAAGAAGGCAAGTGACGTCTTACACACGTTCCGCCTCGTAAAGCAAAAAACAGCACGCCGCGCGACACGTCGTTCCGTTATAGCTCCGCTTTTAATTTATTCAACAATTCCTTCGCCCTCCCTTCAAACAGATAGCCAAGCACACGATTATTCGACGATTTGTAGCTTGGCGAAAAAGTCGCCCGCGCTTCGATTGCGTAAATCTCGTCTGCTCTCGCGCGGCTGCTGATTTGAAAATTCGCAGCGCGCACACACGCGACACGATGCCCCCTCCCTGCGGGAAACTGATATATGCGGCGACGAGACTCCGTAGCAGCAGCAGGCCAAGAGAAAAAAGAAAGGGCTCTGCTTTTACGCCTCGTTGGGCGTGCAACGTCGCGATATCTTTTTCCCGACACTCAAAGTCGCTTTCGGCGCTCCTCCGCGCCGAGTTTTTCCGTGAAATGAGCGTTGCGTCACGTAGTTTGCCCATGCAGTTCTCAGTTGGCTTGCCTATATACGCGGAGTCTCTTTTTGCCAGTCTCTCTCTCTCTCGCTCGCTCCTGGTTCCCGCGCGGTGGCTGCTAATAATGAAGCGCCATTTACGGAACTTTATAGTCCGCGAGGCGTTTCTATTACGGCGTTAAACGACGGAAATCGAAGAGTAACGACACGCGATCAAATCGCCCGGACTTGGCACGCTGCACAAAAAAATTGCCAACAGCTTTATTTGCCAGTATAATCTCGACCTGGATAATACGGAAGTCACTCGTTAATAAATGTACTTCGCCAGGCTCAAACGTAATCATTAAAAAAAAGGAAAAAAAAGAGCTGCGACATTTCAGTAATTATTCTTGCCCGCGTACCATGTCATTTCGGCATGCACACATATCATTGGATTTTAATTAATGTTGATGAGGTTTTCCTTTTGAAAGAGAGTAAAAAAAATAGATTAATGGCTGTCCGTGGGAGCTGACTTTCATTAATACATATGTACAGTGCGAGTCAAGTGTGTGAGAATACGTTTGTAATCGAGCGCTAATGAAAAAATTAACAATACACCGCTAAAGTATACCGAGTAGAAAAAGTAAAGTTCTAAACACGGAGGCGCGGACTGGCATAGTTCCAGTCGGCTTCCAGTCCGAGCTGCCGATAAACCATGGCACATTAATCTTGGCCTCTGCTTTCAATTTCAGATATGGCACTCGCTTGCTCGCAGGCTACTAGCGCCGACTGCAATCAACTTCCTTTCGGGGAGGCGAAAAAGTATTTCTTTTTTCCTGCGCGCTAGATCACTTTATCTGTCAGAGCAGTCGCCGCCGCCAGCGGCTTCAGGTCATTTGGGGGGAGGATGCGGGAAAAGCCCGCGAGAAAGTGTCTTTAGCGGACGCAAGTTTTATATGACACTTGATGAATCGATTCGCAGCAGCGTCGCGCTACTATAGACGAGATGTTTAGCAAAAGTGAGCGATGGTCGATCGTTCAGTGAGGAAAATCAGGCTAATGGATGCTTTTCGTAGGGGGAGGGGAGGCGTAAAATGAGAGCTTTTATCAGGACAAAAACACAAAAAATTGCGCCACATCGCCTCTCCTTTTTTTTTATTCTCTTTTTTTTCCAACGGCATCCATCTTGGCCCATCAATCGTGTCCCCTTAAAAAGTGTCTAATGCACTTTTATATCTTCAATGCTGTCAAAACTCGGCTGAAATATTTACAAAATCGAAATGGAAGCGCGCGCGCGTGTTTGAGCGAACGAAACGGTTTTCTAGGATGCAGCAGCGCGGTGAGATTGAGAATCAAGAGAGTGGCGCCCTCGGCTACGAGTCTGCGTGCGCCCACGGATGGACTATGTTATGGTCATTAAGTCGAACTAATGCGCGCGCAGCTCGTTCGAATTTTCCCGACAAAACTCGTTTCACTTCCATAGCACCTCGTCCATTATACGCGAGACGTTGTTTAGAGAAAGGACCTGCGTCGCGATTAGACGTGTTTTTCTTCTCTCCCATGGAAATGTTCTCTCAATTTCTCAATTACAGACTCTCTCGCGCGGTCAACGAAGCCAGAGCGATGGCCCCGCTCGCTCGGTCGCCGATGCGCGCTAGCGCCGCTTTATTAATTTCAGATTGCGAGCGAGCGCGTTCGTTAATTTTCGGCGGATTAAAGGCGCACGGCGAGCGCGTTCAATTATCGTACACCTAATGATGACTATGCGAGAGCAGAGTTGAAATCATTAAAGCGCACTCATTAGTATTTTACGCGCGCGCGTCTGCTCTACTAGCTGGAGCTGGCGCGGTTAGACGTATCGCGGCTTAGAAAACTCGCGCTAATAATGATAATCTGCACTCGTGTGCTTACTTAGGGGAGCGCGCTACGCGCCTCAAATTTATGTGCCTGCGAGAAAGAGGCCGCTGCGCGCAAGCTCCAAAAATACGGGAGCCTATGAAGGAACGCGCGTAGCGAAGTAATATGAAAATGCTTTCTCGGCTCGAGACGAGAGAGAGAGAGAGAGAGAGAGTTAATGCACTTAATCGAGCCGAACGGTACATTTCGTAACGTCGGAGGCGTGCAGCAGCCGAAAAACAGCTGGATCGCGTGTAATTCAAGGCGCTTAGCGTCTTAAAAAAATTCAGAAGCAGCGCGGCTCTCCTCCTCCCGCTCGCTTCGTATCGATTCCTAAACCTCGCCCGCGACTTTCCGGTTTCTCTCTCCACTTCCAAATTAGCTCGTAAAGACCTATTTTTATTTCTCCACGGCCCGACGCGGTCCGTAATCCTTCGGTCCTTTATTGCCTGACTTGCTTTCAAGCTGTGTGGAATTGGGCATCACCAAGACAAAATTAAAAGCAAATCCATTTGTGCCGCGCGCGCGCGCAGATTCCGAATTTTATTTAGAACTCTATTAAAGCCCGCGTGCCCGCTTTGATGCTCGCAGCTGCGGATTTGCTCGTTCTTATTGTATTTCTCGGCGATGCCGTCCACCCAGTCAAGTCTGTATCGAATTTCATTAGTCGTACTAAAGTACTTCTGGAGATCGAGTTATGATTAACGTTTAATCGCGATACGCAATGACACTGCAAAATGCCTTTAAGACAAAAAGAAAAACGACAATGGAGCATTCGAAGAACGCAACACTGATAGATTAAACAGAGAGCGTATGGTTGCGCATAATTAATGAAATTTTCAGTGGGTGAAGAAAAATGCGCCGGCATAGAGATATGAGAAATAGAACAAGGATGAGTTGGAGTGAAAACCCGAGATGGAACTGTTGGATAAAGGGTGAAAGAAAGAGCCGCTAAGGTTTGAATAGACGACGAGACTTTACGATCAGAGCGGCTTTTATAAAGTCGAGTCACGCTTCTCCACTTGGACGGACAGACAGATCTTTAAAATCGTACCCGCACCACGATCTACATTGCTTTCGACACTTTGCCGCTTCTAATTATTTCCCTCCTCGGAATGCATGGACGCACAGGCGTCGAGCCTCTCGATACATGATACTCGACTACCTCAAATTGGATCTTTACCAAGATTTCCGTCGTCACCGTGGTTCCGAGGCCTTGAGTTCGGTATAGAAAGCCGCGACGTTGCGCTGTCTCGTGCACGCTATCGGTCAACGTTCCTGCGCGGCGGCTCGCTAATTATAGAATCATCCGATAATTCATAATTGCCGGGACGTCGAACGACGCGACGCGCGCGCGGGGAGTGTGAGAAAAATGCCGATAAACCGAACGGTTCAAGGCACATGTCTCTTTGTTTGCACGTTGATAAAGGTATAAGCGCAAGTGTTTTGTTACGCGCTCCTTCGACGCGCTTCCACGAAAGTAATCTTATAGCGAAAGTTTGGCCTTTGCCGCTTCCTGTTTTCACGCTCTATTATTCTTGCCCGAATACTTCCAACGGCCGCATTGTGCTTTCGAGCCAAATCCTTCGGCGTGCCGCGAAATATTATGACAATTCGCGCCCGTGTGTACGCTAAAAAACCACGAGACTTCCAACTTTCGTGGAAAACCGTTCAAATGCATTCTCTGCCTCCGATTTTCTCTCGGCGCGCGCGGATTATGGCGTTCTTTCGTAAACCCCATTATCGACTACTTCTGGGACCGAAGAAACAATGTCGAGCCGCTGAAAAAATTTTATGCAAAAAGCTGCTGGCCGTGATGTATGCAAACGTTTTGCCCAGCTGTCCGTACGCGGAAACGCAGATATGCAGATAAGCGAGCGCGCAATTTTTACGGCCGCATTGTCATTACTCTCCGTGCGTGGAAAGCACAGCGTAAATAATGACGGTAATCTGCATGACGTTTAAAATCTCGTGAATATAGTCGGTCGCGGCTAAACAGCCAGCTAATTTGCTAAACATCTGTTGAAGCGCGAAGAAGCATAATGTAAGCAGGCGAAAAGCC